CTTTCCTCTCCCTCTTCCCTTTGCCTTTTCTCCCCACTCCTTTCCCTTCCCTTCTCTCTTCCCTCCTAGATGTCAGAGGCTGGGTCTACAGGGTGGTGAGAGTGGAGGGGCCTTCCGTTGTCAGGTGATGTGCACGCTTCAGGACTCGGGCTGTTGGAGGCTGGGAGTATGGAGGTGGTAAGCTTGGATTGCTAGGAGGTTGGTTACACGGAGTAAAAAAGGACATGGATTGATCACATCCATCCATCCACCGAGGGAAGTGAGAGCCAGACTTGCCCCTGGTGGAGAAGGTAGATAGAACCTAATTGGGAAGGAGTCTTTGCCATTATGTGAAGGAGTCCTTTTCGGTGTGATCAGCTGAATAGAAGAACAGGCTCTGGATTCCAGTAGGTATTGCTCTGTGAGCCCTTTGGAACAGAGGGACCAGGTGGAATGTGAGTGCAGCACAGAAGAGGTCTGGTAGGAATGAGCTAAGCTGCTGGGGACCTTTTGTGGGCTCTCTCATGGGCACCATTCGAGTCAGGATTAGCTCATTGGTGTTGGACTCAGTATATCGGAGCCGGTATGTACCTATTTATGTCCAGTCAAGTGAGTGGAACTCTAGGGGCAAGAGGTGGATCCTTTTTACTGCTCCCTCTTATAAAAAGGCTTACAATACTTTTCTTTCTTTTCTTTTTTTCTCCTTGGCATATTCAGAATAAAAAGGACACATAATGCCCAGATCTTTAGTGCACATACTTAAGTTTAAGAAACTGTATCTTACCTCCAGCTTCTTTATTCCAGTGGTTACTTGATGATCCTTTTTAGAGCATGCTGCAATAAGAAAATACCAACTTTAAATTGTATACAGTTCCTTGTTAAAATAATGAAGTACAGTCAGCCCTTGGTATCTGTGGGTTCCTCATCCACAGATGCAACCAACCGCAAATTGAAAATATTCATGGGAATTATTCCAGAGAGTGCCAAAAAGCAAAACTTGAATTTGCCATGAACCAACAATTATTTACACAGCATTTACATTGTGTAAGGTATTATAAGTAGTCTAGAGATGACTTGAAGTTCACGGGGGAGGGAGGATGTGTGTAGGTTATATGCAAATACATACAAAACTCCCTGTTCTAGAAGGGGCTTGAGTATCCCTGGATTTGAGTCAGTCTCTGCGCATCCGTCCTGGAACCAATCCCCCAGGGACACCGAGGGATACATGCATGTCATTTGTAGGTCCAAATATTAATTGATGTAAAAATGAACTGTCTGGTCAGTACTGGTCTGCTCCCTAGAAAGGAGATTTAATCTATTATTGCAGTTACTTAAATGTAGAGTAGGTAGCTGCCTAAAACTGAAATAGGATTGTAAGTTCCACCCAGCCTGTCAGCAGCTACCAAGAGTGTCTTTTGTGTCTCTGAGAAAGAAGGGTTGTGACTATGAACGTTAGGGTTTTTCTCTTGGCAGATGTGGGAATATTTAAATCTTTTGACTAATACACATAGACCCAAGGAAAAAAATCTGTAAACAGCAAGGGCAGGCAGGTATTATGGTAGAGGACAAGCCTACTAGGAGTTAAAGATTACAGGATACATATCTGAGACATATAAAGTGGAGTGTAGAGAGAGAACATGGTGTCTTTTACTGTTTTGCTTATTTAGATTGATAAAGCTTGTTCTGCTTGGCCCTTTTTAAAAAAAATTTGTTGAGCCACATTGGTGTATTGGTAATCGTTGCTGTGTAACCCCCGCAGATTTAGAGTGGCCTCACTTATGCTTCTGAAGGTTGCCCAGATGGTAAAGAATCTGCCTGCAATGCAGGAGACCCAGGTTTGATCTCTGGGTCGGGAAGATCCCTTGGATAAGGGAGTGGCAACCCACTCCAGTATTGTTGCCTGAAGAATTTCATGGACAGAGGAGCCTGGTGGGCTACAGTCCATGGGGTCACAAAGAGTCATACACAACTGAGCTACTAACACTTCACTTCAGATGATGCCAATTTTCATTCCTATCAACACACGTCCTTAGAGAACGTTATAGTGTACAGTACAATTCATGGCATTTACTTCACATAGTTATCTGATTTTCTAGTTCTGTTTTCTACTGTTAAAGCCACTATATACTGAGGTTTTATCCATCTTTCTCTAAAGCGTTTTGTTAAGGATATTTAATAGACTGTTAGTAGGATGGTTTTTGTTAGCATCTTGGATTTAGGAAAGAAATAGGCCTAACTACTGGGCAGTTTCTGTACAAAAATTGTTCCCACTTCAGTATTCTTGCCTGGAGAGTGCCATGAACAGAGGAGCCTGGCAGGCTATAGTCCATGGGATTGCAAAGAGTCGGACACGACTGAGTGACTAACACACACACACACACACGCTTCTGGTGGTTGTCAGACTGTGTAGTTTAGGTACCTTGGCTTTCTGTGTGGCCTCTCCAACAGGCTAGTCCAAGCTCATTCTCATTAGTTTCCAGCCACAGTTCTAAAAGGATAGGGGAAGGCACATCCTAATACACAAATGCTCAAACCTCTGCTTGTATTTGATCTTACAGTGTCCTTCTGGTCAAATCATCACACAGACAAGTCCAGATTGAAGGGTTGGAGGATAAAGTCTTATCTCTTGATAGAGTGGCAAAGTCACATTCCAAAAGGTTTGCATATAGGGGTGGTAGGAATTGTTCCAGCCATCTTTGCAAACAGTCTACCACAGCAGGACAAGGAACCCTGTCTTGGGGGAAGGATATACTTTGAGTTTGTTTGGTGGCAACAGGTGGCATACAGGTTAATAAAATATTAACCTCTGTATCCTGATATACTTGATATTATTGATGTATTTCAACTGAAGAGTAGTTACATGAAAGTGGTTTGTACCATCCACATTCTTAATGTTGACAGAATCTTGTGCATATCAGTCATTCGGTTAAATATTTATGAGACGACATTCATGGGCCAGCCCTGTTCTAGGTGAGGAAAATAGCTGGAAGGGAGCAGGGAAGCATGCAGTATGTATAAAAATCACAAATAACAAAGAGAAACTTAGTAGTGTGGCTTTTGATTTTGGGTTTGAGGCCGCTGAGTTTCTTCTTCATGCAAGAATGCCACACAGGCAGATTTTTATCAAGAATTTAGCCACCTTGAAATTTGTTTTTAAAGAGCAACTTGGTAACTAACTGGCTTCTCTCCTAACAGCAAATATGTATTTTAATCATTCTATTCAAGAAACTACCTTAAAAAGGGAGATTCATGTACTTTTGCTCTAAAGAAGTCTCATCTTTCAATCAAATATTAAAGGAATATATCAATTATTGTATTATATATCTACCAATCTAACTAATTCTAGCATATTAGCTACAGGCTATTCAGATAATTATTCAGTGTCCAGCATCTCTCATCTACTTGTCAGGTGGGTTGGAGTGTGAAGAAACCTTTTTGGAAAACTCTTGCCCTAGTGGGATAAGTTAGGAAACAGAGTCCTTGCTTGCCAGCCCAGATAAATGGGTCCTTAGTGCTAGGGTGTCAGAAATAGACATCCTAATTGCATGGGAGCTGAGAGTCTTTCTTTACAGTAGCAGTCCTGTCTGCTCTTGCTAAGATTGTATTCTTATAGGAGGAAAAGAGGTATAAAAGTGACCTGTTCCATTTTCTAGGTTGGGGGAAAAAGCCTTTTATAATTAAAATAATTGTGACCCACATTTTGAAAAAAAGATCAGAACATTTTTACTGTTCTGTTTTCATATTCTGCTTAATTTTCTAGAAAGAGTTAACTTCTCCTTGAATCCAGTGGTGACAGTACTGGAAAAACTTGTTGCCTAAAAATGTCAGCTTTTGCTGCATGACCCTAGAAAGGTGGGGAAGTTGGACGTGAGCTTTTTCTTCTTTCCTTTCTTTTTTTTACCTTTTTCTTAAAAAGCCTTTTCATAACTGACGTATTTTTGTTAGCATCCCCCTTCCTGCCATCTTTATAATGTTGAAACTGAAAGGAAAAATGAAACTGCTAAGATGAGTTACGGTTAAGTAACTTTTGCTTGCAGCATTGTGCTAGTCTTTGTACAAAGTGACCTAACCCAACAGTGTTCTTGCTGCTGAGAATTTAAGATAGAAATGGAAAGAAACATAAATAATGTTCTGGTTTGCAGTGTGAGAGGATTACTGTTTGCTAAGATAACAGCATTGATCTTTCTGAAAGTACATTTAAATTCTGCATTAAATTTAAATTCAACATGAAATGAACTCTTTCAGCAGGTACTTTTCAATTCTGATGTTGAAGTCTGTTAGATGTAATATGAAATTATTTTGTTTGAGTGGTGGTGCTTTAGTCACTAAGTTGTGTCTGGCTCTTGTGACCCTGTGGATTGTAGCCCATTAGGCTGCTCTGTCAATGGGATTCTCCAAGCAAGATGCCCAAGGGAGTGCTGTAACTGATATTGAGTTATATGTGGTCTGAACCCATTGTAGAGATGGACAGACTGTGTAAGGGCAGTGCCAAAGTCAAGGTCCCATTGGATAGGTATGGGTGTGGGCAGGGAGGTGGGGAAGGCTGGGTCACTATAGACTGAAATTGGAGGATAAAGATGAGAGAGGGAAGCACCAGTTGTATTTGGAATCCAGGAAAGCATAGTCTTGCTGACAATTAGCTGTGGTCGGTGACGAAATTTTTGGCAAGTATGACAGGGTTGTGTAGGACTCTTATTCCAGGATCATGAGTTAATTTAGAGATTTATTTTAAAAGCTTTTTTCAATGTATAAATCTGTGCTTTCCATGTATCAGCAAAATAAACATTATCGGCTATCTGTCTTCAGAGATGTAAAGTGTTCTTGAAAAGTATAAAATGATCAGGCAGTAGAACTAGTGTTTTTATTTTTAAAATTTTGAAGTTATTTTTAGGATGTACCACTGTTAAAATTTTTTATTTTATACTGGAGTATAGTAGAACTAGTGTTTTTAAAAGGATAAAGCCATGTGACACTAAGACTTAGGATGTTAAAATGGTTGTATTTTATTCTTTCTTTTGCAGACTTACATTGGAAGTGTGGTTATATCCGTTAACCCATACCGGTCATTGCCCATTTATTCACCAGAGAAAGTGGAAGATTACAGGAACAGAAATTTCTATGAACTGAGCCCTCATATGTAAGTATGGTATTAAAGTATCAAGTTTCTCTTTCACTCCAGAGATGTTGAGTTGACAGATGTGTCCAGCTGTTTCCTCTGAATATCTGGAAAATGTTATTAGTCATTTTTAAAAATCAGATGGAGGAATGTAGAAGCTAATTGTTACAGCTTATTTTAAATTTAAAAAAAGAAAAAAAGACGATTTCATTTGTCCTCAGGCTCTTTAAGTCCTGAAATATTTGGTTTCAGTATGTAAAGTATTTTCTGTTAAAAATTCTGCGTAAGTGGCAGCTGCTGCTAATTATGTTTGCAAATAAAACAGGAATGTGCATTGTTTGTTATTATAAAGAGCCCAAGCAGTGTTTCCATGCCTTTGTTGGGTCAAGAAAGATTCCAAGTGTTGGATTGTGTAATGGGTTTTGAGAAAAGGAAATAAATAATACGTTCAGTTTATAATCTTCATGGACATTGTTCACCAGATGTGTGCATTAGGCCAATGATTTCACCTTCCTTGAAGTTAGTTACTTGTTTGATTTTTCTGAGAAGGTCGCTTGTTATTGTAAATAATTCCTGTAAGTAATAATCTATAATTGGAGAAGGAAATGGCAACCCACTCCAGTATTCTTGCCTGGGAAATCCCACGGACATGGGAACCTGGTAGGCTTGCAGCCCATGGGGTCGCAAGAGTTGGACTTGACTTAGGGACTGAAGCCAATCACAAGAGTTGGACGTGACTTAATCACTAAAACCAACCAACCAATAATCTATACTAGTTACCTAGTGAGAAACCCTGAGCTCAAGTCAGAGAATCTGCAGAGTTTTAGTTGTGTCCTAGCAGAAAAGAATTTTCTGTGTATGATTGAAGATGGGCTCTATTATTTTTACTAGAAAATAAATCTGATAATTAAAGAACATACACACCACTGTCCAGATATTTATTTTAGGTTTTTTTTTTTTTTTTGATAGTGGAGCATACAGTAACGTTTTTGAACTGTTTGAAACTAAAGATTTAAATAATTTGTGGGAGTGGTTATTAAAACTAAACACTGTATTTTACCAGTCAAGTAGATTCTGATTATTCAGTTTTCTCCTAGGAGTAGATTTTGCAAGTGAATTTGTTTCATTTTGCCTTAGCAAAAATAAAATCTGAAATTTGTTTGATAAAGTTCTTCTTATAAGTCCCTACAATGAAATACCTTATTTGATGCCTTAAGATTTGTTTTAAGTTCTCAGCCTTCAAGTCATGCCTTCTAAGTGCTTAGATCAGCTATATCAGTATTGTGCCAGGAGCTTAGGAGAAATTTAGTTTCCTAAGCCTCACCTCTAGTAGGCCAGGAATCTACATTTTGCACAAGCTTTCCAGGTGATTCACAGGTATTTGCAAGTTTGAGAACCTGTTGTCGTGCGTGTGTGTGTGCGCGTGTGCTCAGTCACTCAGTTGTTTCTGACGCTTTGCGACCCCGTGGACTGTAGCCTGCCAGGCTCCTCTGTCCGTGGGATTCTCCAGGCAAGAGTACTGGAGTGGGTTGCTGTTTCCTCCTCCAGGGGATGTTCCCAACATCTCCTTCATTGGCAGGGGCAGTCTTTTACCATTGAGCCACCTGGGAAGCCATTGTCTTATATATTTGAGGATGTTTTCCTTTTCTTAGCTGCTTACTGCCTTTTACGGTAATAGCATTAATAATAATAGTAGCAGTAATAGCTTGTATTGATTGAATACTACTGTGTGCAAGTACTTATCTAAATACTTGACGTGTATTGTAACTCATGCCATTCTCAAAATAATTCTGTGAGGTAGGTACTATTGTGCGTGCATGTGTATGTGCTAAGTTGCTTCAGTTGTGTCCAACTCTTTGTGACCCTATGGGCCGTAGCTCACCGGGCTTCTCTTTTCATGGGCTTTTCCAGGCAAGAATACTGGAATGGGTTTCCATTTCCTTCTCCAGGGGATCTTCCTAACTCAGGGATTGAACCTGTGTCTCTTACATCTCCCGCATTGGCAGATGGGTTCTTTACCTCTGGCACCATCTGAGAGGGGAACTTGTCTCAGAATAATCAGCCATTTATCAAAGCCACCCAGCTCTGGGTTGGGGAGCAGGGATGTGAGAATAGTCACCTGCCGTGCCTGTCAGCTGGAAATACATTCTGTCATTTTCATGTTAGGCCTGTTACTGTGCAGTTTTATTCTGCTATCCTTGGGTTGCCTATGTTCCTGCATCCTGGGCTGTCCAGGATAACTTTGCTGTGCCTCACTTTGCCTCCAGAAACTGCATGCCATTCTTCCATTTGCAGCTGAAATCTCCACTTTGGGGTTGTTTAGTTGTATGCTAGATGTGTATTCTAGAACACAGAAATTCATGCTCTGGAATATCCATTTTTATTCCCGCTCCTAAAGATTCTTATAAGAGGCTGCATAACACTGCTTACCTGAATTCACCTTTTATCCCCAAGGGAAAAATACCACACCGGCAATAAATTCCCAGAGTGCCTAGGATAAAGAAGATAATTTTGCCATGTTCTGTAAAATAGTGGCTCAGTGGTAAATAAAGAATCTGCCTGCAGTGCAGGAGATGCAGGTTTGATCCCTGGGTCGAGAAAATCCCTTGGGGAAAGAGATGGCAATCCACTGTAGTATCCTTGCTTGGGAAATTCCATGGACAGAGGAGCCTGGTGGGCTACAGTACATGGGGTCACAAAAGAGCTGGATGCAGCTTAACAACTAAACAAACAGGAACATGAAACATTGTACATGGGGTGAAAGGTACAATCTCACCTATCAAATCTGAAATCGCTAGTTTCATATCACAGCTTCCCCACCTCACTTTTCAGTCCTCAGCACATTCCTTCCCACCATCAGGTCGTCTTTGTACCTTCTGAGCCTTCTGCCTGGAATGCTTTTCCCCGGGAATGCTTTTCCCGTCCCTTTTCCCCCAAGGCAACTCCTGTTCTTTAGATCTTAGATTGCATTAGACCCTTTCCTTGCCAAAGTCAGATCTATTGCTTTTGTCACAGTTAAACATTTTTTTCAGGTGTTATTTGATTCATGTCAGCTTTACCTGCCTTGCCAGCTTTTGCTCACCATAATTTTCTTAGCACCTGAAAGTAAATGTTCAAAATATATTGATCAAGACTTGGTTTGAGTCCCAGTTTTCCCATTATAAACTCTGTAACCTTGAACGAATTACTTAAAAAAAAACTTCAACTCAGAAATTAAGTAATTTGCTGCATACAGTGGGAAAATAATTAACTCATAGGATTTTTGTGAGGGATAGCTATCTAGAAGATATTTAGAAAGTACAATTATCTGATATAAATACAGTGCTTAGCAGGGAATCTGTTGTTATGGACATCTGCTGCTATTAACAGTGATAAGTATAATAATTATTGTAATATAAGTGGGACACATTTCCAACATTTTGACAAGCTCTTTCTTACCATTTTCTCCTCCATGGTGGGACATTTCCACTTCCTTTAATGCATTTTCCTTCATTATTCTTTGTGAATGTCCATCTTTGACAGTATTTGAAACAGAGTTAGTGCTTGCTAGTTTCCCTACTAAAACCCAGCCTGACCTTCTCAGAGATAGTATCCACAAACAGAAGATCTTTGTGGTATAAGAAGATAAGATGACTTTAAGCTTTTGATGCATTCTAATCATAACTACTTCAGGAATTTGGTTCCAGTTTGAGTAAAAAATAACTTAAGCAGCTGCTCAAACCACGTCCCTTGAAAATTGCTGATTAATTTGCCTCATATTTTATTTGGAGTTTCTCTTGATCTGTTCACTGTTAGTCTGCAAATCTGTCCAGATGTTTCCTTTGTAACTCGTGTGTTTTTGAAGGTGTCCAGAAATGGTCTTTCTTAAGTGTCAGACAATTGAAAAATATTTACATTCTACATAAGTATGTCACTTTCAGAGAGCGGAAATGTATAAATGAATAAAATGAAGATAAACAGTGGCTTCTTATCTATATTCCTTTTCAAAAATGTTTTCTTAACTCATGAATAAGGGGTTAAATGGAATAAATAAATTGTTAGTTATAAATGACCATCAATTACTTTTATAAGTTATAGTTAGCTACAGACAAATCATTGGAAAAGACCTTGATGCTGGGAAAGATTGAGGGCAGGAGGAGAAAGGGGTTACAGAGGATGAGATGGTTGGATGACATCACTGGCTCAATGGACATGAGTTTGAGCAAACCCTGGGAAATAGTAGACAGGGAAGCCTGGTATGCTGTAGTCCATGGAGTCGTAAAGAGTCGGACACGACTTAGCAACTGAACAACACCACAGACAAATTACAAGCAGTGTTACCTAATTTATGGAATCATATGTACATATATAGCACTTTCCTGGTGATTCACATAGTGAAGAATCTGCCTGAAATATGGGTGACCTGGATTCAATCCCTGGATCAGAAAATCTCCTGGAGAAGGAAATGGCAATCCATTCCATTATTCTTGCCTGGAAAATCCCATGGGCAGAGGAACCTGGAGGTCTGTAGTCCATGGGATTGCAGAGTCGAACACAACTGAATGACAAGACTAACACACTACATGTACATATATACAATAAATATACATAAGACAGGATTTTGAAGAATTTGTATAAAGAGGCTAATTGTTGTCTCTATTGAGTGGTATTATGGACATTTTTTTATGTTCTGCTTATTTGATGTTCTTTTATTGAACAGCCATGAATTGCTTTTCTAATAAGAAAAATAATACAAGTAACCAGGGAAAAAAGAAAAAGGAAAAAAAAAAGCCAGAAATGGTTTTCTGGTGTCATAATCTCTTCTGTCCCCTCCTTCTTTGAATTTCTGTACCCTGTATGTTTGGAGCTACATTGGGTGGCTGGCTCTGCGTAGATGATACTATTTACCTTTCTAATTGTGTAAGCCATGTCCTTCCAGTGTGGTTTTTACATTTTTTGCATATAAGGAATTTTTGTTAAATATCCCAGGGAGGACTTACTACATTTCAGACCACTTAGTAACTCTGTTCATGGAGAACTGC